TCGAAAGGCAGTTATCTAGCGCTACTTGAATCATTCCCACAGTATGCTCTGAATGGCTTTCGGTTTCTTCTTTTCCTCTAGAACTCTTTCCTTTACCACATTCAACAGGTTTTCCGAAATCAAGTCTCAATTCATCCCCTTTTCTTTCAGTTTCCTCATCAGCAGCTTTGGCACAGCTTGACCAGCCGTGACTGTAATTCTTTGGTTCCCACCATCCCATCTGCACATTCCCAAGGTCTAATTCTTCAAAGAAATGGAGATTAGCCAAGTCCCCCTCTAGGTCGGCCAAATCATCCAATCCCTGTTCAAGTACATCCTCTCTGGCAACATTGACAGAAAATGAGTCAGGTAGATCAACCTCAAGCTTTAGTTGACCACTGGGAACAATATACCAGCTAGGATCATACTTTTTCTCTGATAGTTTGCCTGCCTCAAGCATAGGTATTTTGGTTATTTCCTTTAACACTACCACCATACTGATTTTGGGCTTTGGCTGAGTTGGAGGTGCATCCATCATGCACAACTCGGTGCCTTCAGGAATATGTACCTCAGGTTTTGGAAAATGGGTGGGTGTGATATAGCTACTGGGGTTAAAGGTGGATGAAAGTGTATGGATGAGGTTAAGATGAGGAGGTTGTGGAACTCTGTCATGGGGCGGCAACGGGTTGGTAGTGACGTTGGGTTTTGGGGTTATGGGGGAGCTATGACTTTATTCTCTATGAGATCTTGGATCTCATGACGGAGACAAAAGCAACGGTTTATGTCATGTTCGAGTTGTTGGTGGAAAGCACAGTGTTTCGTAGGGTCATGTTTGGCTAGGAGAGGTTCGGGAAGAGGTCGGGGGTCCAAAGGCTTCAAATACCCACTTTTGTCAAGATTTCCATTGCATTGGAGAGTGACATATGGAGAGGGGTAAATGTTCTGATTGGGGCTCAGGTTGTGTTCGTTGTTTGCGGGCCAGCATGAGCAAAGGGGTCGGCTGTCTTAGTGGTGGTGGGAACCAAGTTGGTTTCAGAGGGCTTCACAGCTGTGCCACCACGGGTGGTAGCATTAGAACTTGTAGACCGCCCGAACTCTCTCCGCGCAACCCCTCTTTTCGGAGAGGGCGCGAATTGGGTTCTAGCTACTACAGTTCGGACTCCTGTCACGGTTCTGAATCTAATCTCACAAAGTGCAATGTAAGACTGATAAATCACCAAAGAGTCCAAATCTGACAAATCGTTTTGGAAAATCGATTTTAATCAAAAAGCGCCAAATATGGACTGCTTTGCCAGATTTCAGAGTCGCCACCTAAATATTTTATTTTGGAAAATTTAGGAAATCCTGACTCGTGCCTAAGGCCATGTGTCCATCATCACCAAAGCTGTCTCGGCTCGGGAACTTGGGTACAAGAGGGGAAGGTCTTGAAATGAGCACCCCCGCTCGCCTGATCAAAGATTGGCCTCTACTAAACATGATATGTTGTTTTTATAAACACATGTGTTCTTGTTCTGGTTATTAGCTAATTTACTATGTGATGCGCACAACATACAAGTATAAACTCAATCACAAGAATTGGAACAAAACAATTCATGTTTTTTTTTTGAAAATGATTTGAAAGTGCTACTCGCAAGTAGGCTAAAGCGCGGATTTGCCACCCTCAAGTAGGCTTAAAACAACATGATTTTGCCACTCCACAAAGTGGGCTTAAAACTCACAATCATCAAGTTGTTCCAATTCAGGCAATCAACACTGTTGGAAAAATGATTTTTAGTGGCGTTTTTAAAACGCCGCTATATGTCTGAAAAACGCCGCTAATTCCTTCAGTGACGCTTACCACCAAACGCCGAGGACGCGGCCATCGCTGTAAGTTTAAGACGCTTTAAAAACGTCGTAAAATTAGCATAGGCGGCGTTTTTAAATGTGACAGCCCAACGGTAAAATGACGTCACACAGGCATTCAGCGACACTTCAAAAACGCCGTAATAGCTTTTTGTTATGTTCAAAAAATAACTACAATGGCGTTTTGTAAAATGCCGCAATAGTTTTTTTTTTTTTTTAACTACTACTTTTGTGAGATTACTGAATATGATCATTTGATTGATTCTCAATCATATCATGAAAAAGCTTCTACATTTCATAATGGTTACATGATCAACGAACTTCTGTTAATAACAAGAAGAGTAGTTACATGAAGTATGAAAACAAAGAGGGAAAAATCAAAAAACAAAAAACAAAAAAAAGGTAAATAAGAGAAACAGAGAGAGAGAGAGAGTACAAAACTTTCAGATTTGATCAAACTATTCTAAAACCCTAATTTTTTGAGACTTGAAAAAACCATTTCCTTAATAAGGTGGGGACAAAGCGGGAAAGATTATGAGGCTGCAATTTTCTCAAACAGGCCCAACCTATTATCAGCAAGTCTAGACTTGTATGCAGATTTTTTGTATTCAAACCATGTAAACTCTTTGTACAGCTTGTCTTCTCCTTCCATGAGTGAAGGCAATGGGGCTATCTTTTCACTCAATGGTGGTCCTCCAAAATATATCATTGAAACCCTTGATTTCAAACTGTTCGCTATAACTCTATGCCTTACACTTTTAAACCTCCCATTGGTCATCACCTGCAAAACCGACCAGGCACATTTCAAAACCAAAAAAATTACCCACTAGCGCAATTCAGAAAATTAAACAAACAGCAAAAAGGTTTGAGTATAAAGAATGTGTAATTCATGAGGAGCAACATTAAAACCTCTAAAGCATAGTTTTCCAGTCAAACAATTCTCTAGCTCGAACCCCCAGATAGACTATTTTGCTGAGCTTATAATCGATTTACAAATATGTAATTACAAATATGTAATTTCAATCCAAGAAACCTCTATAAGACAGCGCCAAATTGGATCCAACTCTGCATAGTAAACTCCGAATACCTACAATCACTGTAAATCACAGTAAATCACAAATATCAGTTAAGCTCAACAACTACTATCAATAGTCAAACTTAAAATATCTCAATTTACAATTTATTCCAGAGTTTAATCCCTTTGCCACTTGGATAACTATGACTTTTCAACCAGCTAGACTCAAAGTAGGTATTTAAAAAAATAATAAGAAATAAGGCTTCCATATTCTTTAATCACATTGTTTATGCATATTTTTAAATGCATTGTTTATTCATATAAGGTGAAAATAGGGACCTAGCAAGATTTTCTCCACCAGGAGAGAGTGATGATGCAACATTTGCATGAAGCACCTAACGTAAATTTTGCTACACTAACATAAACCAAATCAACATTTTATGGCTAGATTGGCAAATTTTTATCATTAACTTCATCAAAAGAGTCTAGAGAAAACAACAGTGCATTTCCAGTTCCAATACAGCAAACTGGATTACCAAAATAAATAAATAAATAAATAAAATTAAAATTCTGAATGCAATTTTACAAGGGACTTCCTGAAGGAGGAAACCATAAAACAACATTGCAGTCCAAATTCCATTTCTCTCTGATAAATAAAATAAGCAGTATTCATCTGGATTAACGTTCGCCAGTCCTGAACCATTGCATCTAAATCATATAGAAGAAGAGCTCGAGTTCAATTCATTATCCAGCTGAAAGAAACAGAGTGGTACCCATTTTTCTAGGATTAAGAGATAGGCAGAAGCACTATTTCCAAAAAGGGTTGAAAGAATCTACTCCATTCTCCTCCCAATGATAGGGATTCATGTTATCTATCCATCCGGTATTGAATGAAAAAAGGCAGCCAATCCCTTCATATGCATAACTATTATATCTCTTTTGTAGCTGTCGGGAAACATTTGACTGTTTCACAGTCAAATTAGCAATTACTCTTTTATGCTATATATGTGTGTGTGTGTGTGTGTGTGTGTGATTCACATGTTTCTAGCTCAAGTTGATTCCCTCAAATACACATTAATGGATGAAGCAGAAGTTCCCAAAGAAAATAATGCCAAGGAAGCAGGTAATTGGATCCTTCCCAATAATTGCAGATACTTCAAAGTCATCCTATTGCATAAACAGAAGGTGTACAAATCAGCCATTCAATCAGCTTCCTGCCAGCAATGAAATGATAAACGACTACTTGGAACTAAAAATCCTAATATCTTCTCGATTTTTTTTTTCAACGAAGAGCAAGAGCTAAGAACAGCCACCAGTCCAAAATTCAGAAAGGGTCATTTAGGAAGATGCACAGTGCATTGGTCAATTGTTAAGTTTGAGAGCATGAAGCATAAGTTCCCAAAGAAATGAATCCATCGGATTCATCAGCATCCCTCACATATATAGTTGACTTCAGTTCGTAAGAAATTTGAAAAAAATAAAAATAAGAACAAGAAAGATAGATGGTTAAAAAACTATAGAAATAATCAGTCACAAAGTTTTTCTTATCCCCTTAAGATCTGTACATGTGAATTTAGACTATTTAAGTGTATTAATTTAAAGTCCATACACCAAGTGTTCGTAACATTAGCTATTCCTTAATAAGGTGGGGACAAAGCGGGAAAGATTATGAGGCTGCAATTTTCTCAAACAGGCCCAACCTATTATCAGCAAGTCTAGACTTGTATGCAGATTTTTTGTATTCAAACCATGTAAACTCTTTGTACAGCTTGTCTTCTCCTTCCATGAGTGAAGGCAATGGGGCTATCTTTTCACTCAATGGTGGTCCTCCAAAATATATCATTGAAACCCTTGATTTCAAACTGTTCGCTATAACTCTATGCCTTACACTTTTAAACCTCCCATTGGTCATCACCTGCAAAACCGACCAGGCACATTTCAAAACCAAAAAAATTACCCACTAGCGCAATTCAGAAAATTAAACAAACAGCAAAAAGGTTTGAGTATAAAGAATGTGTAATTCATGAGGAGCAACATTAAAACCTCTAAAGCATAGTTTTCCAGTCAAACAATTCTCTAGCTCGAACCCCCAGATAGACTATTTTGCTGAGCTTATAATCGATTTACAAATATGTAATTACAAATATGTAATTTCAATCCAAGAAACCTCTATAAGACAGCGCCAAATTGGATCCAACTCTGCATAGTAAACTCCGAATACCTACAATCACTGTAAATCACAGTAAATCACAAATATCAGTTAAGCTCAACAACTACTATCAATAGTCAAACTTAAAATATCTCAATTTACAATTTATTCCAGAGTTTAATCCCTTTGCCACTTGGATAACTATGACTTTTCAACCAGCTAGACTCAAAGTAGGTATTTAAAAAAATAATAAGAAATAAGGCTTCCATCTTCTTTAATCACATTGTTTATGCATATTTTTAAATGCATTGTTTATTCATATAAGGTGAAAATAGGGACCTAGCAGTGAAGCAGATTGTATCAAACAAAACACATTCTCATACATTGTCTAAAGAATGTATTAATTTTCAACCTTTTGGGAAGGAGTGTAATGACTGAAAAGAAATAGACATCATATATGTGGAAGAAGTGTACCTGGTTACTTGAGCAAAGAACCAATCTTATTCATCTGAAGAAAAAATTGCAGAAAATTTTTTTAAAAAAAAATTTTAGGTGGAACAAAATTTAGGTGGGAAGGAGTGTGATGCTGGGAAATTGTAGGGCCAGCTCTGGACCTCAATATTCATCTAAAGAAAAAATTGCAGAAATTTCTTATTCACCTTAAAAAAAAACTCCCTATATTTATGTTATTTATATCAATAAAAATGCTGTAAGCACAGAAACTTTTCATAGAAAAGTGCATGACATGTAGTGTTAGCAGCAATGCATTCATCTAGGTGGAACATGGCCCAATACAAGAGCGCAGTGCTACCACTTACACATTATTTTCATCCGGTACAGAATTAAGATAGATAAAAACCGGACCGAAAACCTTTTTTCCATATGTCACCAAGTTCAAATTTTACTATAAGATCTGGTCCGGCATAATGAGAAGTGACAAATATCTGATACACATGCAATTTTGATCAAGATTATGTATCAATTGGAGATAATCACCAAAAGCATTAATACAAATTAGTGAAATCAACATGGATCATGTAATTATTTGAAAGTAAAAATGGGTATGGGTTGTCACTTACAGCAAGGGTTGTTGGGTTGACATGGGAGGTAAGGTCTTGTTTGAAGGGTCCACCGGTTCGGAACTCATTGCTGGGTGTGATTTGCCAGAACCCCACAGGCGGGTCAAAGCATATCCACCCGTGAACCTGGTTATCTTTGTCCTCAGTTGAGTATTGGTACTTGTCATCCACCTGCACATCAGGAATGAATCAACATCTAAAACAATAGATGTAGCATTGCAATTAATGTCACATGGAGACAGGATCCACTATGCTCATCTCCTAGTTCTCTATTCCAAACTTCATCTCTACCACATGATTAGAATCAATGAAATTAGGTTTGAAAAAAAATAGAAACAGAAGATCTCGTGTGAGTTAGAAGCACCACCATAATCATCATTCACAAATTGTAAAGAAATAGTCATTTTGTAAGAAGGGTAAAGGAGGAAGATCATTTCATTCCATTCTATTTCGTTCTAGTGAACTAAACACTACATTCCTAGTAAATGAAAAGATAAAACGATATATCTGGGAGAATTAATGCTATGTTTGCTTTATTGGAATGAAAGTAGAATGTAACGGGATGTTCATTCCTTGGTCTCTTAATGGAATGACCTATCACTCATCCAAACGAACCAAACACTACCTGAGAATTTGTTATGGAAGAAATGGCATGGAATAGTGAGAAATAATTTAATATTACCATTTAGGACTACTATATTTACAACCTATATATGTTGCTTTCATGTGTTATTGTGGGTCCTATTATTTTTAAACATGATGAATTATATACGTATATATGATATTTCATGTGTTCTGTTTTAACCAAGGAAAAAAGCTAAGCACCTGGGGCTCATCTGGGGGATCATACTGCAGAATCCAGTCCTATTAGTAGAGAAGATAAAGAAAATGAATCAACATGAACTATTATAGATTCCATCTTGAAATGAAATAGTTCAGTCATAACAATTGGTACTTTTCCAGTGTTCCTTGTAGACAATTTTTGCAACCTTTTCATACATCTCATGGTAGTAAATTAGATGCTTGTAAACAGTTTTATACAGAGTTAACTGAAATAAATAGAAAAATAAAATTTCACAGCAATGCCAACTAACAGCAGACATCACCATGGCATGCTTGGCAGAATTAATTTCATTTATCATCTAAAGGTGCAAAAGTTTTTAACTGCTATAAATCCCTTCCTCATTTTTTTCTTTCTGTTTGGGGTTGAGGACTATCATTGCTGGCATACCATATTCAACACCAACAAGCAAAAGAAAGTAACATACCACTACAGGAATATCAAGACCGCGAGCAGCAACATCAGTACATAATAAGATGCCCTTCTCTGCTTTGCAGAAGTCAAAAAAAGTGGATGTACGTCTCTGCTGCTTTTGCTTTTCCATGGATATCAAAGCAATCTACATGAATGTATCTGAGAAGTTCAGAGTGGAACTTGACGGAGTTACATGAAGAGAAGAAAACCATCACTTTCTTTGAGAGATTCCTCTTCAAGAAGGAATACAAAAGAATAAATCTCTTGGCACTTGGCACAACACAATAGCCTTGCTGCAGCCCTTCATTAGTGACCTATAATAGCAGACATCTTATCAGGTTCTAGAAGCGGGGACTGAAGAAAATCACAACACACTGAATAAATTCCAACGATTAATTTACCTTCTTCCGTCCATCATCCACATCAATATAGACAGGAGTTGTCTAAAACGATAACCGAGCAATATCCTCAACTTGAAAATTTATAAATATTTCTGCTTAAGCTTCCGTAAACACAGAATTTATAATTTTGGTGTTGGAAACACTTGCAATGTTCAAGCAACAAAATTAGGAAAGTCTTATCAGAATTTTATTCACTGTGAGAGTTTCTATAAAGAAAAGAATTCAGAGATATTGATAAATAAAAAAAATATTGAGTTCAAAACAATGTATGTTTACAATCTAAATAAACAAAGGAAACAATAAAAGCATGTACAGAAATACATTCTTAGTCTGGGTAGCTGAGAATAGAGCTGTTTGCCTCTTCTGCACATCAGATAACATCTCAATTAATTCAGACACAATGAAAGACACCAAATATACACTTGTATAACATTTGTATAGGTGACAAGAAGTAAACTTGAAGCATTTCAGTTACTGCAGGAACAAATTAACACATTTTAAAATCAATTATGAAGCTTCAGGGGTGAAATGCGGCCAGAAAATTGATCCCAGGTGAAGGAATCAACAAGGTAATGCAGAAAGCAACAATCTCTCAAACATTAGATTTTCCTTCCCAGGTCATTCATTCACTCCCTTTGGGAAATCATATCAATTGGCATGTTTGTATAATCTAAACCATATGACTCAAAAAGGTAAAATGCGCAATTATCTTCATCAGGAGGAAAAAAATCATTCACGAGGCGTATATTTTGAAAAAAAAAAGAAGTTTCAAATAGATATAGAACAGCCTACATCATTTTTTCAATTCAAAAAATTGAACAAGAATCTTTCAATTCAGAAGATTTTTTAGATTTTCCAATTAAATTATGCAGGGAGAATAAAAACAATCACATGATATTAATTTAATGAAATAAGGTGCTAAAACAATTTCATATCATATAAGGCCTTGATTCATAATAGCTGGCATGACACCCTGTACCACATTACAGTCAATAATACAAATGACTAAAATATGATTTACCTTTGGCAGAATCTTAATAATTTGCTTCATTTCTTCTTCAAAGTTTGCTTCCAATATCCTGTTGGATTCATCAATTATGAGACACTGCAAGTCCAAAAAAAGAAGCTTAAGGGCTGGTTTGGCAAGTTTAGAAAAAGCCTTATTATGTTGATGGGCTCATGTAAATCTTAAATATTTCTTTCTAAAATCATGAATAAAAATATCTTAATATGTTGATTTTGTTTTTGACCCCCAAAAAAAAAAATGCAAATATATACTTTTTACAATTAATAATGTAATTAGCAGAGTGTTCCCAATATATGAACCCAAATTAATTTATTCCAAATAGTTGTACAAGAATGACTTCAGCTATATATATACTTATATATTTATATTCAGGTCAGAATCAAATATCAGTTCAGATTAATGTTCAGCTTGATTCAACAGGACATATAACATGATTCAAATATCAGTTCAGATTAATTCAAATATCAGTTCAGCTTGATTCAACAGGACATGTAACATGATTCAAATATCAGTTCAGCTTGAGCGAGAGAAAGAGAGAGAGAGACAATGGAGCTCACCGATCTGAATCGCTGAGATGAAATTTGATTTCGATTTTGATTTCGAGAGAGAACTGAAATGACTCTGATGAATCACCGATCTGTTTCGCTGAGACCGAACTGAATCTCTGAATCACAGAGCTGAACTGACAGATATAATTAGGGTTTAGACAGCACAGAGAGAGAGAGAGAAACAGTCGCTCACTGATCTGAATCGATTCACCGATCTGAATCGATTTTGAGAGAGAACTTCGAAATGGCTCTGATGAATCACCGATGTAAGATCTTCGAAATGGCTCTGATGAATCACCGATGTAAGATCTTGGAAATGGCTCTGATGAACGCTCACAAGTTTGCTGTCACCGATCTAAATCGATTTCGATTTTCAGAGAGAGAGAGAGAGAGCGCGAGTGAAAGTGAGAGTGAGAGCGAGAGTGAGAGTCAGATTCAAAATAAAGGTGAAAGAGGGGGAGGGAGCGTGTGGGACAAAGCCATTTCAAGGCATTTATAAACATCTTCTATTCATGAAATGGCGTCGTTTTGATTAGAGAAAAATGCGACGTCTATGAAACGCCGTTAAATATTACAAAAAGTGACGTTTTAAAAAACGCCGTTACAAATACGCCTCCAAAACTAATATTTCCTGTAGTGCAAGCCTCCATCCACAGGCATTCATGCAGTTAATCACTTAAGCAAATAGCCTTATGGCAAGCATGCTATCATGGCAACACTCACACTCATGCAAGGATGCTAAAGCATAAACACTTACAGTGTGCTCCGAGCCAAAACAGAAAACTAGTTAGAAATCATGCATGTTCCTAACTATGTTAAGATGCCTAATGCAACACATGCAAAATGCAGCTAAGTAGGCTTGGCTATCTAAGATGGCATATGAATGCAAGACTTGATAACATGCTTTGAAACACGTATTCAAGAAAGTGTATTGAAATACGATATAGTTTGAATGATGAGCCGAGCCTGGTGCATACAATATAAATGAATGATGCAAACATGCATAGCATAAGGTATGCTAATCAAAACGTGCCCTAATCTAACCACCAAAAGCGGATAAATAAAAGGGAGAAAGAAATGGGGTTGGAAGACATGCACACAGGCACGCACCCTTATGCCCTCTCGTAGGAGGGTCCGAATAAATAAGCTAAGCTACTTATTACAAACCAATTAATTAACTATGCTAAGCTAATTAATTACAAACCGAATTAAAAACTAGCTATGCTAAGCTAATTAGAATATTACAGAGATGAATTAAATTAGCTAAGCACATTAACTAATTAATTACAAAACCGGTAAATTAACTAGCTAAGTAGAGTAGAAAAATGGCTTCGAGGGTGAGGGAGAGATGCATGCTCGGTTTGCTTCGCCCGAAAATGCATTGCATTGCCTTGCCATGAGTTGCCTCTGTTTGCACTCGCGGTGATCTCAAAACACCATACACACTTCCAGGTTGTATCTGCCTCAAAACAGGAAGATTTTGGACAACTTTGCTGCAGGTGGCCAGCCGGCCACCTCAACTGGTCGGTAGGCTACCTCAACTAGTCGGCCGGCCAGTGCAAGTGGTCGGTCGGCTGGTGCAAGTGGTCGGCCGGCCACTTTTCCTTCCAGGGTTCTGTTCTTGTTACAACAGAGAACAACAAAGACACAGCAATGTATTTGCAAGGAAATGTGTGTGCAACTACTCTCCTTATCATTTCTCAAGCTCAAAGGAGCGTAGTACTCAGCTCTCAAGCCACCAATCACGCATCTCAATGCATGATGGCCAAAGAGCCAAGCTTGCACAATGTTAGTGAATGCACAAACAAGACTTGAAGAGCGTACACCCTATCATGCATGATCAGGGGTGTCGGCGACTGAGAAACATAACACGTTTCATCACTATGAGTATGAAACATGCCACATTACTTGTGTTTAGATTAACGTCCGATCCAAACACAATGTAATGCAAACAACACGTGTTATCTTGGCATGTTTTACTTGGTTGATTTTGTTTACTCATTTACATTACCAAACCATTCCTTAATTGGTTATTAAGTCTAATGTGCAAGTCCTCCAATGAGAGAAGGTCAACCAAAAGAATGGTTTAAGGCATAGGAGAAACTATGCCTTTCAAGCGTAAGCCTCAATCCCAAGCATTAAACACAAGCACATGGTAAACCAACCCTCAAAACAAATCAAAAATGAAGAAATGAGGGAGATGGAAAAATTTTAATACTAAAGTGGCATGCAGAAGACTCTATCATGTAAGCAATGCATGCAAGGCATGTTTAAAGCTAAAAGCATCAAAGCTAGTGACGAGCATTACACATGAGGCATGCATTATCAATCTCAAATGGCCAAACTAGCTATGGACAAACCTAAAACATGCTAAATCAGTGGCAAAAACATGCTAAAATTTGGACACAAAAACCAAGAAAAACATGCGCACATGTTGCTCACAAGCAAGACACAAAGCACAACTCTTAGAAGTGATAAAACAGTGATATGTGTGAGAGTGTGACAGAGGGATATGCTCTGAAATTATATGCTAAATGATGCTATATCAAGCAAACATCACAAGTAAAGCATACTAGAGGCCCTAAAACTCAAAGCTAACTAAGGCAGTTGCACTATAGCTATGCAATACATGGCTCTCATGACTAAGATCACTCAAAACAGAGTTAAAGCATGTTAAAACATGCACAAAAATGTGCTGGAAGCAGGCTAACATAAGCTAGAATGATAGGCTAATTCATTAAGCATGTTAGGCTAGTGAGCAAAATTACACTACAAGTGTAAGAAGCAAATGAGGGGTGCTCTAACCAGCCAAAAACAGAGTTATAACATGTTAAAATAAGCTCAAAAACATGCTCAAACTAGGCTACAAAAAGGTAGGAAAATATGCACATTTGATAGGCCATCAACACATGCAAACAAGACAAAAGGAGAGGGGACCAACCCCTCCCATTTTGGACCTCAAAACCACCTTTCCACCACTGAAATTCCTTTGGAATACAGTGGTTAAAGGGCCAAAAAGAGATGGTTTGAAAGC